TCGATCCAATCAATTTGATAGCTCATCAGTATCAAAAATTGAGTATTTCCAACCTTGCCGCAACTACAAAATCATGGTGTGAATGAGAGGATCAATGACTCTTCAGGGTCTTTTATTACATTTTTGCAAAATTTCAATTTTCTCAAGTTTTTCATGTTTTTTTAAAAAAGTTAATGTACAAAAGCCTCCGCTGGTTTAACAGATTGTTAACCTTGTCTGCATCACAAAGCCTCAGCTCTAAACTGAAACAATTCAAATTACATGCTACCCGTTGCTTCACAAAAAGAGTCTTTAATTGTTATTAAATGCGAGTTTTAACCATCATCTTTCAATTTGTGTTGTCTCAGGTTTCTCTTTACCCAATCATTACGATTGATAAGCATGGAGCATGATAAGCATTTACAATTTCCAGTAAAATCTGATAAAAACATTTTTCTCAATCAACTCTATTCAACAGATTTAGCTGTAAAACAATAATCGTATTTAAAACTTCAATAGTTAACAAGATTGTTAGATTCTGACCGAGATTGTTCATAATCTTTCAATGGTAAAAACAAAGGCTGTATCTCACTTTATTACAATTTAACCAGGTGATTATTTTTTTTTTAGGTTTTTTGGGTTCATTGTGTACTCATTGCCTTCTTATTGTCACTTCGAGGACAAAAAGCATAAGAGCGTATAAAAAGGGTTATTCCTTCTAGAATGATCATCATTATTCAATTACTTTTTCCTTTTCTTCACTGATTTAAAAAAATTTCTTACCTCATCACTATCACAGCAAAAAATACATTTAACTTAAATACTATTAATGATTGAAAAGACAAGCTTTTTCACTTTCAATCTTTTTTGACCTCAATCTTAGTTACGTTTTGTGTGCTCGTTTTTTTACTCGTCAATCAATTTTTTTGTGCTCTTGATGTTGAACAGTCTTGATCTAAATTGCTTGGGAAGATTTAACTAAACCTACAATAATTACAATAGAATTGACGGTTTCAAGATTTCAACAAATGTCCAAATTTTTCATTTCCATTACAATTTTCTAACCTCTCCTCTCAATAAGATGAAAACCAACGTCATTAATTACATGAGGATCCACATGAAGCATGTTGATGGTGAATTGCATCCTAAATGTTTAATTCAGTCTCAAATTTCATCAGCCTTGTGGTTAACAAACATCAATCATTTACAAAACAAGATACTTTTATGGTTAATCATGGCAGCAGCTCAAACAAAGCTAGAAATATCAAAACTAAAAAGGCTTTTACATTTGTTTTTCAATTGTCAACAATTATTGGCAAGTCTAACACAGTCTAATTGGTTTTCCTGAATGTCCATCAAGACCTAAGAGGTTTTGACCTTACTGTTTCATTAACTATCAGCCATTAATTTTACTAACCCACTCGAATTGCATGCAATTTAATAATGTGTTATTCATAGATTGTTTGTTTGGTTAAGCTTTGATTGTCAGTAAATTGAATGTGTTGAGAGTTGAATGTTAAAACCATTGAAAAATCTTACCAAGATGAATTAGCATCACGCGAATCTTAAACATGCATTTTGAGCCGTTGATTATCAATGAATTAACTTCACTTTCTTTGTCACAAATTTCATATTCATGTTCATCTTGGTCAACAAATAACCATCTCATCCTAAATAGTTTCGTGATGTGATTTGAACTTTCTCTGACCTTAAATTTTTGACCAATTGAGCCTGACCTTGATCATGTTAGTGAATGATAAACAGTCGATAGTTTGGAGTCTCTTCAATTGTATTCAAAATCAAAATGAAAAGATCTCTTTCAAATACAGCTTTGGTTAAGTTTAATTAACTTTTATGAATCACTGATTATCAAACTCGTTATCTAAACACTGCATCTAAACCATTAACAATTTTTGCTATTGTAAGCTCAATCAAAGTATCCAGTTACATCTCACTACCAACTATTAATATTTCAATCAATATTGTAATATTTGCGTCTCAACGATTATTTTTTGTAATCTAATAAGCAACTTGGTTTTTACTGTGAACGAGGCAATTTGAAATGATTCCTGATTAATTCAAACAACTCTATTCCATTAACTCTTGTATGGTTTATTAATTGGTTTCTTTGTTTATATTTTTAGGTACATTTATTGTGATGATATCTGTTTGGAAGCAGATTCGGTGTTGTTGACCCTCTATGCTGCCAAAAAATATTTGGTTCCTCACTTGGCTCGTGCTTGTGTTGAATACCTTGAAACAAGTATAACTGCTCGAAATGCCTGTGTACTCCTTAATCAATCAAGATTATTGAAGAACTGATTTGATGAAACAATGTTGGGAAGTTATTGATGCTCAAGCTGAACTCGCCCTTTCTTCTGAGGGTTTTACCGAGATTGACTTTTCAACCTTGGAAACTATTTTAAATCGAGAAACTCTCAATGCTAAAGAAGCTTCCATCTTTCACGCAACCCTTGACTGGGCTAAAATGGAATGTTCCCGACGAAATATTGAACCAACTCCGGATAATCAAAGAAAAATATTGGGCAAGGCAATCTTTCTGCTTCGTATTCCAACCATGACTATCGAAGAGTTTGCCAATGGACCAGCTCAATCTGGATTACTTAGTCTTCAAGAAACAACTGATATATTCTTGTATTATACTGCTCGAAACAAGCCCATCCTATCTTTTCCCACAAAAAAGCGCCTAGGATTGAAGGTTCAAATTTGTCATCGATTCCAGTCATCAGCTTATCGTAATAACCAATGGAGATATCGAGGTCGATGTGATTCCATACAATTCACTGTTGACAGACGTATTTTTATCGTTGGTTTCGGTTTATATGGGTCATCCAATGCCTCGGCAGATTATAAAGTTAAAATGGAACTGAAGAAGATGGGAAAAGTTCTTGCAGAAGATCATACTAAATTTTTCTCTGATGGATCGAGTAACACTTTTCGTGTCTACTTTCAACATCCAATTCAAGTTGAAGCAGAAACCTTTTACACTGCATCAGTGGTCCTTGATGGCAATGAGTTGAGCTTTTTTGGTCAAGACGGATTGAATGAAGTTACTGTTGATAAGGTTACATTCAATTTTCATGTTTCATCAGACAGCACCAATGGAACTAATGTTCATGGAGGACAAATCCCTGAATTGTTATTCTATGGAGCTAA